TGAGCACTTACTGGAAACACAAGGAGATGGGAAGCATGGACGTCTAAAATATACAAGATTTTTACAGCTCTAAGTACGGTTATAAGACCACCATTTATAGAAAAATGGGAAAGGGATTTAGGAGTAATATTGATGAGAAAAAACAGAAGAAAATGTATGGTTTAATTCATGGGAATGTAAATAAGAAGGAGGTAGAAATTAACTATAAATGTTTGGCAAGATGGTATATCGCACCGAATGTAGCACACAGGATAAGTGGGGATAATTCACCTTTATGTTGGCGTGGTGGGAGTGTCATAAAATTCAGGAGTATTGGGAGGTATAGTACATGTAATACAGAAATAATGGAGCTTAATATCCCAAAGGAGCCAGAAAGGTGTCTTCTCTATGGTTTGAAGTTCTCAGTAAAAAAATATAAAAAAACTGAATTAGTGCACTACTTGAATGCAGCGAAAAGCTTGATACCCAAATTTTGGAGGGAACAACAGGCACCAAGAGTAAAGGATTGGATAGAAAGGGTAGAGAAAATCTATAGACTAGAGGAACTTTACCATATGGATGAATATAGGATGGAGATTTTCTGTATTAGATGGGAAAAGTGGGAGAAGTTTAAAGGGTCAAATGCAGGGGTGGACTGACAACTCATGGGGCCCCCGGGCAATAGGGTATCATGGGGCCCCCGTGTCCTCTCCCAAGCCCAAAAAAGACTATGAAAAAGCCAATGAAAGGTACCAGGGGCATCTCATGGGGCCCCCCACTAACCCTGGGTCCTCGGGCAGTGACCGAGTGTTCGAATGGTCAGTCCGCCCCTGGTCAAATGTATACCTGGAATATATGTAATAAAGAAAAGACGATATGGAGGATATTTGTAATATTAAAAAAGTAGTATTCTTTGAATAAGATCAATAGAAAAAACAGGGAAGAACATAATCAGGGCTGTGTAGAAAGGGCTGGGGGGCTGGGGGGCTGGGGTGGTATAGGTTCTGGGATAGGTGGGGTGGCTAGTGAAAGGGAGAGGGAAAAAAAAAAGATACCAAGAGTAAAGTTAATATTTTGATATAATGCCAGATAAATATGAGTATTTTATGTTAATATGTATTTATTGGTTTTTGTATATGCAAAATGGTATAATGAAAATTTATAATAAAATATTTAAATAAAAAAAAAAAAAAAGACACCAAGTTGATCTCACCACAGGAATCTGAGCACAGGACTTCCTCTTCTTCAGTTGTCAACGAAGGATCCAGGCAGCTATTTCTTTTTCCACCCAGCTGAATGTATGACAGCAATCCAAAAATTATTGAAGTTTAAATAACATTTTCTATCTTTTATGCAGTACTGTGGACTTGCATGGTTTCTTCCCACCCCCCCCCCCACTCCGTGTGTCCTTTTCTCTTCAGGGGCCCGGGCACACAGGGGGAAGCAGATGTGGGCAGGCAGGGAGGATGATCATGCGGCAGAGTGGGGAGAATACCGGAATGATGCTCTGTGTGTCTATCCTTCCAGCCTTCCAGCAGCTGAAAGCCGGCTTATCTTCCTCTCACTCCCATAGGCTTTCAGCTGCTGGAAGGATAGACACACAGAGCATCATTCCGGTATTCTCCCCACTCTGCCGCACCGATCATCCTCCCTGCCTGCCTAAGTCTGGTTCCCCCTGTATGCCCGGGCCCCCTCTGTGTTTGCGCCCCTGACAGAAGTACCAGTGGTAGCCCCTGTCAGCGGCCCTGTGTATATATATATATATATATATATATATAATTACAAAATTGTAGACACTTCAATTTCCTCATTTAGACCTCCAGGTGACAAAGTATCTAAGGGCACATTGGATAAGTTCATTTGTTTCCTGCTGATATTCTGGTAGCGGATCTTTTTTACATTTTTTGTAAGTGATGGTGTCTGACAGTAGTTAGTCTGTTTCCTTAATGTAATTCTTTTTATCCTGGATAACTATGCCACCCCTTTTATCCTTGGTTTTGATAATGATGTCTTGGTTGGCTGTGAGGTCTTTTAGTGCTTTTTGTTCACCCCCAAACCACACCCCCTATGTACAACAATAAATGTGCCAGCCCAAGCAATGTGGATGTACAGTGCCAATAAGATCATAAAAAGTTTGTAATCCTCCAGCAATAAGCAGATCAGCTCATTACCAGAAACATATAACCATCGGGTTATAAATGGAGCCAGGATGTGTGAGATCATCATGCAAAATTGTATTGTGTGCAAAGGCTAAATGGCACGAATATACATAAAACACTTTAACTCCATCCGAATCATTGGTGGTCTGTGGCACTTTAAAACATCCCAAAACAATCATTGGTGATCATTGAGTGCAGAAGAAAGGTGGATGGGTTATACAGTGTGCTGGTCCAAAGTTCATAATGGAGTGGATGCAGGAGCCAATGATATCTCGTACAGAGTGATAATTTGGGCATGGCCAGAATATGTACTGTAGATGTGCATGCCAAGGCCAGACTGGTATCTCCAGCAAAGTGGGGATGCCTGCAGATTGAAGGTATTTTATAGAGTATGGAAGGGACCCTATGCCAACATGTAAGGATTTTGTATCCAGACTCCTGATATTTGCTGACCAATGAGGATTTGGGAAATTATATTATATTGATTTATTTCTGGGGGATAGTAGATTTGTAGTTCCTCTTTCCATTTCTAAATATATTTTGTTGCACTATTGTCCAGTAGAGTGCTGAGAGCTTTCAAAATCACAGAGAGTGAATGTCTGTATAGCATGTTATCTATGCAAAAATGTTTTAACCTCATCAGGTTACTAGACAGAGACAAGCAATAGGGAATTAAGGATTTAAAATGTCTGTCTTGCAGCGCACCCCAGTAACTAAAAGGAGATCTTGGAATGACTGGATTTAATGTAGAGAAGCCCATGGTTCCACTGTGAGAAATTCTTTCATAATGAATTTATTAATTTCCAAAATCTCTATTATGTCTCCTCGTTCAAGAACAAAAGGGAACTCTGAGTCTTTAATGGGTGCGAATGGAGATGGGCATGGTGAGATTGTTGTCAGGTTTATTACAGTGGAAATAACCCTTATTGTCATCCCTATGTTTCGGTGGTATCTGACGGTGCTGGGGATATTGGTTTTGAGCCAGGCTAAACCATGTAAGGGGATATGGAAGTCATCTTGTTATATTTGTATTGAGGCTTCGTGGTTTTGATGTAGGCACCAGTCTAGTATGCATAAGTGGCCTTGTACCATAGTGTTAAATACAGCACTCCTAACCTTCATTTAGCTTTTGATTTCTGAAAGTTGTTGGCAAAATTCCTGATCTCCTGGAACTCCATTAGATAATTATAAGACTATCAGCATAGATTGCCACCTTGGTATGTCCGAAAAGCTGTTGTTTGGGTTGTTCTTGATGGCAAATTGGAATATTTCTTGCATAGAGGGCAGTTTTTGTGAATGCCGTTTGTTATTGCAAAGTAGCCTGGCCTGATTTGCTTTTAACTGCAGCATTAATGGCCACATGAAATGTTGAAGTCCAGTTGATCATGCGTCTATGGAAGCCCAGCCTGATCAGGATGCAGATTAGAAAGTGCTAGTCTGCTGGGTCATGGGCTTTCTGGGCGTTGGTAGATAGTAAAATTGTAATGGCCTTCAATCTAGTGGTTGAAGACTATGTTAATTACTCCAGGTGTGTTATCAAGAGCTTAAAGAAAGTAGATAAAACCTACTTGTTTTAACTGGATAATCTGTGCTAAATTAAGTGTGAGCCAAGTGGCAATTATTTTGTTTACGTTCTGTGAAAGTTGACTATAACACATTTGCTGGGAGGATCCAGAGGATGTAGGTGAATGTGCCTCAGAGATCTGTGGAGTAGGAATCAGGAATGCAGGTGGACAGTCTTCAGACAGGCTCAGAGTGGGAGTGGATTGCAGATTTTAGTCTTTGATGGCCAGAGGGGAAACATGGCGAGTGGGCACAATCTTAGCTGAAGCGTGGGTGATTTATTTTGCTAGGAGTAGAGTAAAGCACTGGCAGATACAGAGTGGTCCATCAGTTTGTCCAGGTTGCTGTTGCTTTTCTTTTTTGGACCTGTGAAAGTTGGATATGTTGTGCTGACTGGGAGGTGCTGAGTTTCAGCATCTACTCAGTGCAATGCCCATTGTCAATTCTTGTAAATAACAAGATTTACCCATCCCAAGTGAAACCTCAGTGTTACAGTAACATTTCGGTTCCAGAGCTCTGTGCATTCCAGTTTTACTTTTACATACTGTATATGACTTCCTCTTTAGTTTCAGAAAATATAGGGAAAAATAGTCTTGCAATAAAGTTAGAAAAATATGTAATTACTTCTGAAATGCATTAGGTCTAAGGTTGATTCTAATACTTCCGTTTTTTCACATGTCCTCCCTGGATGTCTACATAAAAGTATTGGACAATCTCATATCTTTAAATTTCAAACATAGGGGTCAATTCACTAAAGGTTACCACATGCGATAAAACGCTCATGTGATTCATTTGCATAAATTATCGCATTAGATAACAGTGAATTTAGCGAAGTAAAATATTGAATGTAAGGTAAATACCGCACATTTGTTAAAATAGTGAGATAAATACAGCAAACAAAAACATGAGATAAATCATTAACCGCCTCCCGCCCGCCATATAGTCCAATGACGGACAAAAGGCGGTTCTCTCGTTCTGGGAGGATGTTATTATTTGACGTCCTCCCATTCTCACCGCGCATGCGCGGCTCTGTAAGCCCCTCGGACACAGTGGATCACCGATCCACGGAAAGAGCCGAAGATGTCGGCTCGGTCATGTGATCAGCTGTATCCAATCACAGCTGATCACATGTAAACAGGGAGATGCCGGTTATCGGCATTTCTCTCCTCACGAGCTGTCATGCTGACAGCTCGTGAGGAGAGGAGAGTCGGTAATCGGCATTCCTCGGAGGGGACATGTGCACTGATCATCAGGGCATTGATGATCAGTGTGCCCTGATGATCAGTGTAGTCCCAGCAGTGCCACCTGTCAGTGTCCATTAGTACCAGCTCTCAGTGCTCGTCCATTCCACCTGCCAGTGCCCATCAGTGCTACATCAATGCAACATATCAGTGCCTACCAGTGCACATCAATGCCACATATCAGTGCCCATCTGAGCTGCCTTTCAGTGTCACCCATCAGTGCCAGTCAGTGCCACCTATCAATGCCAATCAGTGCCACCTATCAGTGCTGCCAAACAGTGCCAGTCAGTGCTGCCTATCAGTGTGCATCAGTGCCACCTATCAGTGCCCGTCAGTGCTGTCGATCAGTGCCACCTAACAGTGCCAGTCAGTGCCACCTATCAGTGCTGCCTTTCAGTGCCCATCAGTGCCACCTACCAGTGCCTCCTCATCAGTGCCCATCAGTGTAAAAAAAAAACCCCAGAGGTGATTAAATACGACCAAAAGAAAGCTCGTCTCAAAAAAATGTCATGAGTACAGTGTTGCATAACCATGCAATTGTTATTCAAAGTGTGACAGCGCTGAAAGCTGAAAATTAACCTGGGCAGGAAGCAGGTTTAAGTGCCCTGTATGCAATTGCCGCTTAACAGTGCTACCAGTCAGTGCCGCCTAACAGTGCCATATATGAGTGCTGCCTTTCAGTGCCCATTAGTGATGCCTGTCAATGCCCATCAGTGCCACCTAATCAGTGCAGCCTATCAGTGCCATCACTGCAGCCTCATTAGCGCACATCAGTGAAGGAGAAAAATCACTTATTTACAACATTTTTTAACAAAAACGAAGACAAAACTTTTTTTTCAAAATTTTCAGTGGTTTTTGGTTTGTTTGAGAAAAAATAAAAAACCCAGAGGTGATTAAATACCACCAAAATAAAGCTCTATCTGTCACAAAAAAAGATAAAAATTTCATATGGATACAGTGTTGCATGACCGCGCAATTGTCATTCAAAGTGTGACAGCGCTGAAGCTGGAAATTGGCCTGGGCAGGAAGGGGGTATAAGTGCACTGTAGGCAAGTGGTTAAAGTCAATTCATTAAAAAACACACACATTCCTTATTTATCACCAGGTGTTTGTTGGTATTTTAGAAATTTACAAAATAACAATTAGAGGAACTCTGCACTGGCCAGAAAGTGAAAAGCATACAATGTATCAGTGTAAAATTATTCTCCACTGAACTCAGAAAAGAAAAAAAAACTGTAACATTTCATCAGAGGGAGATCATTTTGTGAGTGAAAGCACACTACGATGTTTTCATAGTGTCACAGTATTGCTGTGTGCAATGTTAGCCTGCAAAAAAAAAAATTGTGAAAAACAATAACAAAAATAATGGAAAATGTAAGTGCTAAATATCACAAAACATAAATATTTAACACATTTGGTAAATAACGCATTTTTTTTTTTAGTGAATTGACTACTTTGGAAATACATACTGCATGAGTTATTTTAATTCAAAAATTCATGTGGTATTTATCTCCAAGTGAATTAACCACCATTGTCTACTTGTAATAATTCCTCATGTTTAGTTTTCATATGTTCAGTCCTACTGCCTAAGGCAGTGATTTGCTTCAGTGGTCTGTAAATTAAAAAGCTCTTTTTCAAATGTATCCACAATATTGGAATATAACCATTGTAGGCCATTATTAAAATACCATCTTGCCAGAAGCATGGCATCACCTCAAACACTTACCTGATTGGTACTTAAAGACTGTCTGGTAGATGATTTTTTTAGGTGGGTTTGCCCCCTAGTCACATCAGCCTGACTTTGAAATCGTGCGACTTACAGTGAAGTCGCACGACTTCAAAGTCGGGGAACATGCCAATTTCAGGTGCAAATTGCAAGATATCTGACACAGATGTCTATTCAAATCACACCAAAAGTAGTACATGTACTACTTTAGAAATCGGTGCAGCTCTGACCAAGTCGGAACTACACAGATATGACCGCTGTAATTGCAGACAATAAGGTGCTACTTGGCATATGATTTGCATGCCAAGTCGCACCCGATGTGACAGGTGTGTAAATGCAGTTTGTGGTTTATTGTAGTCATCTTGAAAAAGGGAAAATTGCCTCAGAGCAGGAGCGGACTGACCATTTGGAAACTCGTGCACTGCCCGAGGGCCCGGGGTCAGTAGGGGGCCTCATGAGATGCCCCTGGTACCTTTTTCATAGGCTTTTTTGAGTCTGGGTGGGGACACAGGGGCCCCATGATCCCCTATTGCCCGAGGGCCCCATGAGTTGTCAGTCTGCCCCTGCCTCAGAGGTCTGCATCTTGGTGGGCATCCAGCCAAATGAAGAACAAGGTATTTTAGTGTGCCCTGACTTTCTTCCGACTGGTTAATTTCATCTGGACTTTTCTTTTCACAAAGCTTCACCCTCTTGTGGTATATGAGAAGTAATCAGCTAAAAAGTATAGCATATGGCTATACTTTTGTTACCTTTTAAAGAAATATAAATAAAAATAATACATGACACATGAATACATTTTAAAAGCCTTTCTCTTTTTGTTAGTTTATCACTACACTTTTGTTTTAGAGGGAAAAAAAATAAGTTAATTTAAGTTAGTATGATGTACAGTGGATATAAAAAGTCTACACCCCCCTGTTAAAATATCAGGTTTCTGTGATGTAAAAAAAATGAGACAAAGTTAAATAATTTTAGAACTATTTCCACCTATAATGTGGCCTATAAACTGTACAACTCAGTTGAACAAAAAACTGAAATCTTTTAGTTGGAGGGAAGTAAAAATAAAAAACTAAAATAATATGGTTGCATAAGTGTGCACACCCTTAAACTAATACTTTGTTGAAGCACCTTTTGATTTTATTACAGCACTCAGTCTTTTTGGGTATGAGTCTATCAGGATGGCACATCTTGACTTGGCAATATTTGCCCACTCTTCCTTTCAGAAACACTCCAAATCTGTTAGATTGCGAGGACATCTCCTGTACACAGCTCTCTTCAGATCACCACACAGATTTTCAATCTGAATCAGGTCTGGGCTCTGGCTGGGCCATTCCAAAACTTTCATCTTCTTCTGGTGAAGCCATTCCTTTGTTGATTTGGATGTACAGGCGCACCTCGGTTTACGAACGCCTTGGTTAACGTAATTTTCGGTTTATGAATGAAAATCCATTGAAAATAATACCTCGGTTTACAAATTTTTTTCGCACTACAAATGCATTAATTGGTTTTCAAGGCATTTACAATTTTTTTTTTCATGTCCCTGTGCAGTACTATGCCTTTAAAGTGCACTTTATAAAGAGTTTTGAACACATAAAATATTTTTTTTAAAACTTTTTTCTGACCTCCAGAACGGATTCATTGGTTTTCAATACATTTCTATGGGAAACCGTGTTTTGATTTACAAATTTTGTGCAATACAAAAAGTCCAGCAGAACAAATTAAATTCGTAAACCGAGGTACGCCTGTATGCTTTGGGTCATTGTCATGCTGAAAGATGAAGTTCCTCTTCATGTTCAGCTTTCTAGCAGAAGCCTGAAGGTTTTGTGCCAGTATTGACTGGGATTTGGAACTGTTCATAATTCCCTCTACCTTGACAAAGGCCCCAGTTCCAGTTGAAGAAAAACATCCCCAAAGCATGCTGCTGCCACCACCATGCTTCACTGTGGGTATGGTGTTCTTTTGGTGATGTGCAGTGTTGTTTTTGCACCAAACATATCTTTTGGAATTGTCAAAATGTTCAAGCTTGGTTTCATCAGACCATAACACATTTTCCCACATGCTTGGTAAAGTCACTGTTGCCACATATTTTCTCCACTTGATGATGACTGACTTCACTGTGTTCCATGGTATATCTAATGCCTTGGAAGTTCTTTTGTATCCTTCTCCTGACTGACACCTTTTAACAATGAGATCCCTCTGATGCTTTGAAAACTCTCTGCAAACCATGGCTTTTGCTGTAGGAGGCAACTAAGAAAATGTCAGATAAGACCTACTAGAACAGCTGAACATTATTTGGGGTTAATCAGAGGCACTTTAAATGATGGCAGGTGTGTACTGACCCCTATTTAACCTTTGAATGTGATTGCTTAATTCTGAATACAGCTACATCCCCAGTTAAAAGAGGGTGTGCACACCTATGCAACCACATTATTTTAGTTTTTTATGTTTACTTCCCCCCCTAAAAGATTTCAGTTTGTTTTTCAATTGAGTTGTACAGTTTATAGGTCACATTAAAGGTGGAAAAAGTTCAAAATCTTTGTCTAATTTTTTTACATCACAGAAACCTGACATTTTAACAGGGGTGTGTAGACTTTTTTTATCCACTGTAGATTGTGATTATTATTCAATTCAGTATGACTCAGCATATTGCAAACTACTGTATATGTCAGTAGACAGGATGGAATTAAGAACTGTTTCTAGCAATGCATTTAGAGAAACCAACAAAAAAAAATTAAAGTATATGTCAAGCCATAACTTTTTTTTTTTAGTTTGCATTGCCTGGGGAAGAAATAGAATCGCTATTTGGTTATATTACTATGAGGCTTCTTTGGGGAATTTTCCTTTCATTGGCTATCACAGTGAAAAATGGTTTCACTGGTCATGAAGTAAAAGAAACATTTTCAAAAGCAACACAGAAGGAAACAGATTTTTTTTAAATAAAGAAGGGGAAGGATAGAACATCTGTCAGCATTTTCTTGCTGAATGTGCAAGAAGGAAAGCACCACATGCAGAATGTATGAAGTCCAGATTTTATTTTTATTTAGTCTCTTGTAACATAAAAAGTTAATTTATTTACTCATGGGTAAATTAGTGGCCGGAATCAGCCAGTACAGTAGATAGAGCCAGTACAGGTCCTTGTTTGACAGAAGCTGATCTCTCAGCTGGCTTCTGTCGCACGAGCTTGCTGGAAAATCAGCATCCGATCAGTACTCTCAGCCAATGGCTGCGAGTGCTGACCAGTGTGCTCTGGTGTGGGGTGGTCCCCCTGCCAAAACACAATAGCTCAGTGGGGAGATCTCTGTACTAAAATAGTATGGTTAGTCTAGAGACCTCCTTGTGAGTGCCTCAGTTTCAGTTTTTTTACCCAAACTTGCCATGTGCACCAGGCTTTACAGTGAGGAACAGAAGTATTTGAACACCCTGCGATTTTGCAAGTTCTCCCACTTAGAAATCATTTAGGGGTCTGAAATTCCCATTGTAGGTGAATTCCCACTCTGAGAGACAGAATTAAAAAAAAAATTCAGGAAATCACATTGTATGATTTTTAAAGAATTTATTTGTACATATCCTCAGAGAGCAGTAAAGACTCAACTTGATTTATATGACTGCTTTTGTAACGTACATAAGGACTATAACAGGAGTACACTAATGATCTCCAGCTCTTTTTACATTAGAGGTGTAAAAACTGGAAGGCAACAGTCACTGTTTGGA